TCCGGCACCTCCCCCGTTCTCCAGGACCTTCCAAAGATGATGGTGAGCGGCTCGGCTAGGACATCTGCCAGTTCCCGCAACACTCTGGGGTGCATCCCATCAGGGCCCATGGATTTGTGGGTGTCGAGTCTCCCTAGATGCTCCCTGACCCTCTCTTCCTCTCAGGCTCAGGGCAAGCTTAGGGCAAGCCGTCCTCTCTCTGGCTCTCTTCATGTGTCCCTAGAGCCTGGAGTCCTAGTGTGTCCCAGTCCTACTTGAAGTTAATGTGAATGGAGCACTAGTTACAACTCTAGTTGTTATAAGGCAGCCACCAAAAGAGAAGGGCCATCTCTCAGTGACACTCTGAGCACAAATTGTAGTTCTGCTAAATGATTCTGAGGCTTCCTAAAGGTTAAGTATGGTGAGTCCTACTGGATCTCAGCGAGCGTCTCAAGCACTTACACTGAGCTTTCTCCTTATAGCGCTGGAAGCAATAACTTTCCCAGGTAGCTCAAAAGCAAAATTTAAATAGAATTTAGATATTTTTGTTGTTGTTCTTTAAGCCAAAACCTCAGATACTTTCAAAACACTATTCAACCAAAAAGTTGCTTGTGAAGCTTAAAATTAGTTCTGGACTCACAGACTTACAATACACATTGCCATTGAGCTTTGGAAGCTTTTATCCCTCTTCAAAATAAGGATGGGAATTTTCCTAGCTGTAAATAATTTGTCAAGAATTTGACACAAAAGTATGTGCCTTCCTATCTCTTGATGTAAAAGCAGATTTTTCATACACCATTGCATTCTCAGGATGGTACATAAGATATCCTACAGATTTTTAAAACATAAATCAGATCAGGTTATAAAAGTGCTGCTGAGATGCATTCTGTCAGGCTGTCCTCTTCAATAAAATAAGGTCAAATCATTGAAAGTTGCAATATTTGTTTCCAAATGAATGCATGTAAAGAATGTCTGACATGAAGCAGTTTTATCTTCATAAARCTATCTTCATATCTTCACCTTTATCTGTAAAGGCCACACAGACAATCTAGCATGGCCTAATCAAATGGAAGCTGCTATTTTCACCAATATTCAACAAGGCATTTCAAGACGGCAATTTCATGGCAAAAACTTGCTCGGGATCCATGGTACTATCTACAAATTGCCAATGCCTACAATAGAAGTAATTGCAATAGCAACTTTACTCCTCATAGTCAAGAAAATTTAAACATATATATCAGGTAGGAAATAAGAAAAGATATTCCACCTTGATCACAYGGAGAAGTTGGTGCTGACTTTGACCTATCATCCTCTGTTGATGCAGTCCCAGGAACTTGCTGCTGAGTCTCTGCACCTGCAATCAGCTAAGAACAATTCCAAAAGGAGTACTCAGCAATTTATTTTAACAACATTAATTCACAAGATGAAAGCATGAAGGAAACAGAATGTTCTAGCCATGATGAATCTCACTGGCAGACCTCAGCCCACACAATACACGGCATCTTTTCAAACACAGAGCAGAATATATTCAGAGGAATGCAAGTTTTAAAGAAGAATCAAATCTAATAATCATAATCAGTAAGCAGGAAAATTTTTGAATTGCTACCCTGAGAGCCTGTGTAGAAATCTATCTAGTTAACACATTTTTAATGACGTCAAATACCAACAAGCACTGTGAACTAGCTCATGCAATAAGAATAAACTAAGAGTAAAATGAATAATGCAATATTGAATATGAATATTGCAATAAATGCAATAAGAGTAAAATGAAGCTACAGCAGAACAGAGATGATATTTTATGAAAATACAGTAATATTTCTCTATTTCTGCAAGTGAGAGCAATGGTTCTGTTGTCAAACCATGCAAACAGAGATAGAAAGTGTGATCAAATTCTGATCCAGGATACACATTATGAAATCAGAATACTTCCATTAACTTTGGATGTACTCAGAGTGACCTATCCTTTTTGTTCCAAGAACAACAGCCTAGTTCTTCCTATAACAGTGATGATAACACTGAAACCAATTAACTCTGCAACCACCATCTGGCAAACAGTTCCTCTTTATGACAGTCAGCATACTGGACATTTATCAGCATTTATGGGCAGTATCATTTTGTATATAAAGTCCCAACCAATCAATTATTCCACACCATTTTGGAGCAGATAGTCATTTATGATTTTACAAATGGCTGTGTCAGACCTTGTCTTTCTGTCAAATCTTTCTCAAAAAGAATAAATCTTTGCAGACTATAGTCTCCAGGCTTGTAAAACTCAATCAGAACAAAATAATTTTAAAAATGAAACTCAGAACAGATGACCTACACTTAAAAAACAAGAACCAAAGTCTTATTGCTGCACTCAAAGAAGAAGGAAAAAAAAAAAAAATCTTGTGCAGGCTAAGTTAGTCAGATTCTGCCCCAGCTATTTAAGATAAAACRAAGTCAGGCTTATCTCATTTTTCATGTGATGCTAGACAGTTAAATTACCTTTTTCCTTCTCTGCCCGCTATTAGTAATCTTATCCGGAGTGACTCCAAGATCTGCAAGAACTTTAGCGATGCCTCTAGCATCCACTCCGCAGTTTGGTGCCACATTGTTTTCACAGCGTCGATGTACGTTCATCTTGCAAACTGCAATGAAATGTGTCAGAAAAAAGTATTCAAGTAAATTAAATATTACCTTAGGATGCCTTTTATCTTACTTTTCCCAGAGCTTATTGGACCTATTAAAAGCTTTTTCAAAGACAACTTAATTTCAGAAGAAAAGGACTTAGCTGGATTTACAGTGGCACTTAGAATGGAAATATAAAATGATTAACCTGGTTATCATACTTCTGCTATGAAAATACAGTGGCATTGGATTGTCCCAAGAACAGACACAGGAACAAGAGAAAATATCTAATGATTCTGTAAATCTTACATAGAATTTGAACTAGAAAAAAAAATCCTTTGAATCCTTTGATTTTAACCATTCACTGCTCTCATTCTGTCAAAGCAAAGTAAGCCCGTCATATATTAATACCTCTTGCTCTAGTGGACCCAAGAAGATTAAATCCTGCTAGTCAGGCATAAAATCAAGAGTGTTTTATGGCAATTTCTTTAGATCACAATTCATTTACTAAGGTCTTTCTCAAAATACTGTTGCTGGCATATTAGGAGGGGAAAAGAAAGTTTCATTGCTTGCCAGGGTRGGGGAGAACATATTCAAGCGAAGAGTTTATTTTGTCAGGAGCCAGAGAATACACTTTACCTTAAACTTCACTGCCCTCTTGTGGAACAAGGTTTAAGGAAAGCAAAATTCCCAAATCAAATAAATTACTGTATTAACAGTCCATCGGTCAAATTAATATATATATATATATATAAAAATTATATAATTTTATTATATTGTTAGTCGACAAAGTTTTCAACACTATTTTAAACAAAACTGAAAAACTGAGATTAAAATAGCCACGCAAAGAGGTATTATTTATGAGGTAATGACAAGCACTTCAGAAAGCAGGTGCCTTTGATTTTAGGATATCTTTCTGCTCTTAGAATAGCTGAAAGAAATTGCTACACATTGTATTTGGTAACCAAAGCTTAGTGGCAAGTTAAATATTTGACTTGAGACCCAGAATAGAAGACAGACAGGAACTGAACCGATTGAAATAAAGAAATGGGGAAATTTTTGTATACTCAAACTCCATGTAAATGTTTTGTAAAACATAGTATAGCAATAAGCAGTGAATAAATACAGGAAGAATAACTCTCTGGAATACACTTCTCATGCTGCTAGAGCACCAGCCATGCAAGCACAGCTCTGGAGAGGGAGTGTTATTTGATGCTTATTAAAAAGAAGGTAAAGCACAGGGAAAATTCCATTTCCAGCTCTAAAGGTCTAGATTTCAGGTAGACCCTACCATATTTTGTAGGTATAGATTTTTGGAACACATAGAAAGCAACATGGGTTTTCTAAACTACCATTTGCATGCTTCTCCCACACTGTGTATTCACATGAGACATACATTATTTCCTACAGTTAGCAAGACATTAGCCTGTATGGTACTTGAGAAAGAATATGGCAATGAACGAATATATTCACAAATTAGGCAGAGGGATAATATAGCTTTGAGAACAAAACAATTCGGTTAAATTGAAAAGTCTCCTCTGAGCATAGCTCCACTATAATTAAGACAGCTTCTGAACAAAACCTTTAATAATAGTGAAGCAACAATCCTGACACTCTAACACTGAGCACCCGCCAGAAGCGCAGGGCAAGGCTTAAACTTTAGGGTTTGTCATGAGACAACCTTCTTCTTTCCCTTGCTGGTCAGCAGTGTGCGACTTGGAGCATTAGGTCTCGATTAACTCAGCTAGAATTATGCCTTAGTTTGAGTAACTGCAAGAGATAAATTTTATTAATAGATTACAAGGTTTTCTATATACATGGCTCAGTATTTCTGTCCCTTAGAGAAGCACATAACATCTTTTTTATATTCATGAAGATGGAGCTATCATTCATAATGGTGTTAGAATATGAAAATGTGTATAATTCCATTAGGTATTCCTATTGATCTGACATTATCCTCAATAATGAATTTATATCATTCACGTAAATGCACTAATTCCAACATTTTATTAACTATTTTACAAGACATTACATTTCTTTACAAGTGTGTGTTCTGTATTCTCCCCATTTTAGGGCACATATCTCTGCCTGAAACAAGGAACCGTGTATCAAACGGCTTCTGTTAGATTCCTATAGAAACKTCATACACAGTCCCCAGTATGTGTAGTCCACAAGAACATAGTGAATCCTCTCCCTTTATGAATAGAAAGGCTAGGCAGACTATCACAAAGCATGATCTACCTAGATGTAAAACTATATCATCTTCTGGACATGCAGCAACAGTTGTTCTGCTTGGCATCCTACACAGTCACTTTTGAAGAYGAAGTAAAAAATAAATAAATAAAAGGCAGTGTAAAGTAGTGGTGCATAAGACATCCTACCAAAATAATAATTTCAAAATTTTAACCACTACAACTCTGAAAACATGGAAAGCATATGAGCTGATAGGATGTAGAGCGCCATACTCCTAATTTTATATCAACTTCCAATTTCCCATGTGGCAGGAAACATAGCCAGTGCAGAATCTGTTTCTGCACCTTTCTTGTCTGCATCTGTCACTGGGTTGCACTGTAGGCAGAGCAGGGGACCACCTTCTTACCACAATGGCAATCTCCACAGCATCCTGCTGTTTGCCTCCTATTAATTTTCTGTTCATCCTAAAACGGCAGAACGATTTCACAGGAGTAGCATATATGTTGATCACAAGAGCAAAGGCCCTTCTAAGTCTACTGCACTCGCCCAGGAACGAAGAAAAGCTCTGAAGTGGCAATCCTTACCTTTGCATTGTAAACCTTGTCTCAAAAGACCCCAGAGCAATGAACCACAGTGGTCACAGAAGGTGGGCACTTTGTAATTGTGAATGCTGAACTTGTGAGGCATGTTGACACTAAAACGTTGGGATCCCACTTGCTGAAAAAGGAAAGCACGACATATTTCATTCTAGTCAATCTCTTTATAATCAGTGTACGCAGAGGCCCTGCTATGTTTTGAAACCTCACAGAATTCAGGCAAGATAAAATAAGTCTGTGATCAAATGATGATCTTTTATTAYGTATGCTCCCGCCCCAGAGTTCCCACTATTTTATTTGGGGAAAAAGGAAGGGCTGCTGTTGTCCAAGAGATAAAGACTGAAGTCTGCTTCCTAGTGCTTCTGGGAAAAATAAATACACAGCTATCAGGAAAAATCTGTTAACGGGGAAGGCAAGGAAGTCACTCCCAATTGTTTTAGGAGTAGGAGGCAGAACTAATACAGAACTAAGAAAAAGAAACATATCACAGCCCCTTACTTTGCCGTAGTCCACTGTTCTTTAGATTATGAAAATGATAAAAAGAACATGTTGCATTCAGGGAGTCTAAGGTAAGATTACTTACTAATTAAAGGATGTCACTGACAAGTTTTTATAGCAGAGCAAGAGATTTATTTTGATGTTTTTCCTTCCCTTTCCTATTACCGCTGGCTTCTCTCCAGCACTCCAGCACCCCTCTGAACAATGAGGGCGTTGTATCAGCAAGCCATACGAGCCGCCACCAGTCTGGAGCCTGGGAATATAAAGCTATGCAGGATTTTATATCTTCCTGCGGGCACTGGGTACTACCCAAAAACAGGACCAGTAAGATACAGCCCTGTCGAACAACCGTATGTGACAACACAGTTTTCAGGCTTAAAAGAGAGAACTTTTTGGTGGTAAATAGGTATTAAAGGGTGCCTAGCTTTCAATACACACAGTCATTTTGAACATGATATTAAACCCCAAACACAATGTAAAGTAGTAGTGTATAAGATACCCTGTCTGATGCTGAAAAACCTGTTAGCCCTACAGTACCTTGTGTTATCACTACTGTCCTGTTACATAACAGGTCTTCTTTAATGAACGTATGGCTTTTGTTCAACACTTGAACAGTTTGGATGCACTCCCTGTTGAGGCGAGCTTTAAAAAACAACTTCTGGATAGTCTTATATATTGACATAAGATACCTGAGTATACTCCATATACTATCATCTGCCACACAAAATGCAGTTCAGGGATAAAAGGTCAGATCTTGATTCTTTTGAATTAAACCAAAGCTCATTTAAACTTGMAAACAGAGGTTCAAAATGAAAACACAGAGGTGGAACATGCTTAAACTGTGAGTTCAGACATTATAAAAATGTTTACTAACTTGAATAAACTGCCTTACTGAAATTCCATGTAAATTAAACTGTTTTGATAATCTGTCATTCTAGAGTAAATGCTATTATTACAAAAGAATCAGAAGGGCACAATAACCCTTTGTATCATTTATTGATTAAATGGAAGAGATGGCACTAATCCGAACAGATGAAAGAAATAGTTTTATCTAGAAAATACATTTTATAAATATTTACCTCATCGTGAGTTTCCTGTTTTTTTAAGCCAGCACACTTCGTTATTATAAGTTCATGGCATCTCTTGTGGACTACGCAAGTGCAAACTATAAACAAAGATCAGATAAAAGAATGAGTTTTCATGAAGATTGATTTTCAAGGAAAAGATTGAAGACAAAAGACCAGAAACACTAGGACATTACAGACATGCTGCTAGTGACTGCTGATTTAGGCAGTTCTAGGTCTGGTTTGTAAAAGCAGAAGACATCCATTTTCAAAAAGTCAATGCATTAAGAGAAYTAAAGCCAAAAAATTCTCAGTTATATAAAACTGCAAATCACCTTGTAAAGTACTCTTTTTTTTTTTTTTCTTCTTCTGTAACAATCATTTATTTGATACAGTCCATGATTTCCACACCAGGTAAAACTAATTCCTGCCTGGAAAGCTTCCAGAGGAACAGAGACGTAAGGACAATTCATTGTAAAAGAAACTGAGAGTTGAAAATGAAGCACTCTGGCAGTCTTAGCTATATTATGACCTCTATATTATATTATCTCATCTATTTAATTACAGTCTTTGCAATTACCTAGCATTTTTCAGGGAAGAATCTTAAGAAAAAACAAAAATTAAGAATTTTAAAATGCAAGAAGTGAAAAAATAAGAAACCAGAACCACCAGAACTGTCACGAGTTGGATGTACATCAAGAGATACCTAGAATTCACTATTCAGAAATGCTAATTTTACTATTTTCTACATGCTGTCCCAAACCAACAATGTTAAACAACTTAGTGTGACTTATTGTAAAAATCTTTGGTGAGCTCAACAGGTTCAGATCTACASTCTTGCTCTAAAGCCTTGCCTTTGTACATATAAAAGCCCTTACTTATATTTTATAACTTCAAAATTTCTACTGTGCACTTTCATCTTACCTTGACATTGGTATCCCTGTTTGCCTATTACACCCCTGAAAATAAAACAAAGCGTTTTAGAAAATGTAGTAGACAAATTTAAAAATTACTTTTTTTTAATTCTTTTTCAYGTACATTGTCATTCAGCATGTTCCACATTAAGAAAGAGTGTATGTATTCATTGCCATACACTCTTATGAAATAACAACAGTGGATCAGATCAGACATTAGATTTCTAAGGTACAGCTGAATATCTTTGGGTAACTTTGGAAAACATGAATGGAGTTACTGAGGAATCACTGAAAAATGAATGTCTCTACAGCTTCTCCCTACCTGAAAAACATGGCTATTCAAAAGTCACGTAAATCTAAAAGGGATTCCTGACTTATAAATGATTGCTACTTATAAAAGGGAGTTCTTCACATACATTTCAATAACAAAGACCTTGCAAATCTAGCATCCCCCCAAAAAACACAATAATCTCATCTTCCCAAAACTTACTTAGATGAATGCAATTTCCAAGCAAGAAGATGGTGACACTCAAATGCCTAAACAAGAATTTGRGACTTTGGCAAAATGTGAAGGTCAAAAGCTACACTTAGGCAACTACAGTGCAGCAGACTGGCTGTCTACCTAGAATTTATGGTGTGTACTAGACAGGAAGAGATTGAACTTTGTGGCTCAGAGAGAAAAAACAAACAAAAACACAGCAAATTATAACATTCATAATCAAAGTCTGGCAGTCTTCTATTATTGCTTGCAAACCTGATGACAGCTTAATATGAGAATAAAGAGGAAAAGAAGCAGTACTCAGGTCCACTTACACTTCAGTAAAGCCAGGAGGATATTTTAACTYTCTAATACACTGTTAAAAAGAAAACCAAGTTAAAGGTGCTTCATACCATATAAAATCTCTGCAGTGTGAACAATATGTTGGTTGTCTAAGATAGGTGGCCATAAACTTGTGTCCGTTAACCTGGTGCACTCTGCGTCGCACGGCGCCCTGGCGCTTTCGGGGGCGCATGCGCTCCCGGAACACACGTTCTTCATTGTCCTTGGGGGCTGAAACAGAAGAGAAGACATGAAATGAAATACATACTGCCTGCACCACACACCAAGATGGAAAAAATGCAGTGAGCATCTCTATAATCTCCAAAAATAAATCTCTGTAGCTAGCAGTGCAAAAAATCTTCCCTAACACAAGCATAATTTGTTCTCTTTTAGCATGAAATGCTATATGGCAAGTGTCTTCATTGCATAGTATATCTACTTATGACCATAAACCTTTCTTGCTACATTCAACCTAAGCTGCAAACAAGTCTACTGAATTCTTTTTAACTACCAATCACACTAACAAATTCTTAAACTGGAATTAAATAGTTAGAATCTCCAGAGATGTCAGACTTTCATCTCACTTGATCCTCAAAAGACCACTCTTTTCCCATCCCTCAAGAAGCCTTAGAAAGTGCTGACATCAGCACAGAAAGCTCAGTACCAAGCAGAACAAAAATTATATTCAAAACCAATTGCTCTGTAGAATCTCTCATTAGGATCTGAGCTTCAGGCTCTAGTGCTCCACTTCAGGATCAAGATACTATCAACAAAATGTTCAAGAGAACATCGTTGTTTCTCTTATATACAATCAGGCAGGAATTAGTTAAGAGATTCAATGGTAGAAAAAGTCAAAATTTAAGTTACTACCTCTCCCCAAAAAATTTACACCTGGAATACACTGAGTCATTTTTTTCCAAGGCAATTATTTAGAGAAGCATCACTAACAACTGTATAAAATTTGCCACCCATTTGCACCTGTTCAGAATGAATTAGCAACAACGAACACTACACAATTGTTAATGAGACAGGTTTTACAAGCAAACTAAACAAAGACCTAAATCCAGTCTTCTGTTGTCAGAGAAAACTGTATCAAACTCTCCTGCTCATGATGCATCTAGCTTTACATTTAAAAGTTTTATATTTTTAAAGGTTTTAAGCTTTTGCCTCCAATTCCTAGCAAAAGTTTGCACCAGATCATCATTCCTTTTGAACCTGGAAACTTGCTTCTAATCTCCAGGATAGATTTTTCTCATTCTTGTCTGCAGCAAAGATATGGGAGGGCAACACAAACTGGCAGAAGCAAAAATCATCTTTGGCAAGAGACAAATTTTCTCAAAACACCTTCTTCACCATCTGCCTACCATTCTTGCCACTTCTTTCAACAGAAAGACCCTGTGATCTTTAGTACTACAATAGGAAAAGTTATGGCTAAGATATTTGACAAGAGAATATATTTTTATTTATGCATGTTGTATTCTTCTCATATATATTTTGTTGAGGTCAAGTGCTTGTATCAATACAACTCATACCTTCTCTTACTGATRCATATATTCTCAAGAATGGCTTTCTTTATGGACAACAAATGAATGCAATGAAACTACACACCCACCACTTCTATGCATGTCACATATTGAAAAGGATTTAATACTTTTCTTCTTGGAATTTCACCTTCACTGAAACATTATGCCTTTTAATGTTATGACTCTGGTCTATTACAAGCTTTTTTTACACCAGCTTCTCTTCCAAGCCATAATGTAGTGCTAACAATAACGCAAAGCAAAAGAAATGAGAACAATTACATATGTAAAGCTAAAGTAATAACAATTTTTTTTAAAAAAGTCTCTAATGTTATGACTCTCAGAAAGCAGAATAATTTATTTAGGAGCTGCTAGAAAATGGTCTTAAACTTGATGAACAGAGAACATGGGAAATGCAGAGCATAGACCCATGAGCAGAGACCAATCTCTTCCACTGCGCAGCAAGTGCCAGAAACCATGACACTGTTAGTCCTCTAAACACCCTATGATGTGCTTTACTTGCACATCAGTATCTTGCAAAAAAGTTATTTTCAAAATGAGATTTCACCAAGATGTGTGATGGCCAGAAGGGAATTTCTAGATGAACACATACTGCCTTACACAAATCTACCCCTCTTTTATCTATGTCAAAGAATGGCCAAAAGCTGAAGGTCCTAACCTTCCCTTCAAGGCAGGAGACAAGACATTTTCATTATATTTATTTTTACGCATTAAATAATATATCAATTTCTAATAACAACTCAGCCCTGTTGGAGAAAGATCATCTTTCACAAAGAATGTACAGCAAACAGTTGGGAATAGGAATCTTTGGTAAGATTTCCAGCTTTTGAATGATCTATTGCCGTCAAAAGCTGCTAGAAATCTCTCCTCCCCCCCTTCTTAATCTGCAGTATATTACTRTTATTTCTTTTGGTTATCATCCCGATTTCAGGATTTACTAAAGCATGCAGCCTTCATGCGAGAAGGTTAACATTAAAATACCCCTCTCCCAGAAAGTTTTCACAAAAAGTCATCTGCCTATATGGAAAGAACAAGATATTCTCACAGCGTGCAGTTCACGATTGATACCATAATCAATCTACAATATTGCTTTTTTCATTTTTTGATAAAAATGAAACAGGGGCAGGCTGAGCCCCAGCCTGCTGTTACCCAAGGGGTAATAAAACACACACTGCTTCACGCTGCTCACGCAAGACACTGATGTTTTGGGTGAGTTACAAGGATGCTCTGCACTGCAGGTACAGATCAGGCAGTAGCTTTACTTTACTGCAAGTCAAGCAGTAAAACTTTACCTACCCCTCGCTCAAGTCAAACCCAGTACATCTGCATTTACTGCATAACAAACTGTCACACTAAAGACATTCATATAACTGTCTCATGACATCTAATCCACTAATGAGCTACCAGGCTCTCCCCAAAGTTTTCTATTCACAACCAGAAAAGCAAAGATGACTAGACCTCATCAGAGGAGTTGGGAAAACCCCAGACATTTGGGTGACACAACCAAGGGGTATTTTCAAGATGTGCTTTGAAAAGAATCTAGCATCTCAAGCAATATTGGCATTTTAAATTAATTTTATAAATAAAAAGTCCTACACTGGCATATGATAGATTCTATAAAAAATAACAGTGTATTGCTTACACTTAACATTTCTATTCTTAGTAGAGTTCAAATTAGAATAAATGAATTTGTCATAGCCAGTCTATAAGCAAGTTCTAATGAAAACAGTAAGTTCTGCTCACACCATTTCTGTTCTATAGTCACACAGGGTTTACCAGTGAGTTAGTAAAAGTCCTTTCTTCATACAAAGTACATTCAGCTCCTTGTCCTTCAATCTTTTATATTATTTAGTTTATCCTTCTTTAATACATCCATTTCAAAAGAAGAAAATGTTCTTTTGAAAAGAAAAGGAAAAATGTTCATCATAACTCCAGATTGTTCATGGTCAGTTCCATCAACTGAGTGTACTGAATTTGGTGGTCCTCAGGAACAGCCAAATTCAGAAGTAATTTTTATCCAAAACATCCTGAATAAAACCATTATCTCCTTTCATTCCAACCAAGAGTAACTCCGAGTTATCTGGAAAACAACAGCATATGATTATTTTAACAGACTCACATGTACAGGCCAACACATTGCCTACAATTTCATAAGCCACAACCCTGAAGACTTCCAGACTTAGCACTTAGAGAAGTATTAAGTATTATAAAAGACAATGCAAGTATTTGGAACGCAAAAATCAGAGAAATATTTTAAACACTTGTTTGTCAAAATGAACTATCTGGAACTACATTTAACGCTATTAGCAATATAAGCTGTAGCAAGCATATATAACAGGCAACATCTCTACATGCTTCTGAGACAACCTAAGTGCTTTTCAGCATCTCTAGGGTGTCTTCAGATGACTGCTGGTCCTAAACATGGCCAAGGGTACAACAAAACATACCAAGTTTAACACCAACCTGTCACGGTTACAACAGAGCCAGCTGAACATTAAACGCAAGGGAACAAGGATGCTAGAGATGTTCATGGTTGCAGATTCAAATTAAGAGCTTTTGTACCGTAACGTTTCCAACGTGGCCGCTGCAGCCGGTGCACGTGGCACCGCACCATGGCGGAAGCGAAYGCCCAGGCCGCCCTGCTCAGCAAGGCTGGTTTGTTACTGGCCTCGCGSAGAGCAGGGAGGACGCCGAGGCCCGGGGACGATCTGCCTGGCGTCACGGTGCCRCCGGGAGGCCGAGGCAGGCCCGTGGCAGGGTGGAGCGTGACTGTAACACGATGCAGCAGAACGAGCTCCCCGGGGAACCTTCCAGAACGCCGCTTGGGGCCTCCGCAACAGAGGCCCAAGCAACAAAGCCCCTGCTTTGGCGTTTGACTTGCTTTCCTTTTCCTTAATAAATAAATAAATAAAGCAATTCTCAACTGCTTTCCACTAGGCGATTGCTTGCCAATGCTCCAGAGCTTCTCTCTGCCCAAGCTAAGGGCTCTCCGGACCGTTCTCCGCAGTTCTTGGAGCGCAGGGACACCAGTAGCCCCGCTCCACCTTTGTGAGCCAAGACACAGCGGGTGCTGTCAAGCAGGGAAAACACAAAGCCGAAGAGCACCCAGATGCCGCATGGATATTAATGGTGCTCCAGYACTTCCAGCACACAGAGAAGCCTAATTTAGTTTCTCCAAGTCTCCCCCGTTGTCAGCCACACCCGGCTTGGAGGTGGCAGCGGAGCCACAGCACGGGCGAGCAGCCACCTCTTTTTGAGGGGCCGTTAATGAGACAACGGGGAGAAAGAGAGGCAAAGAACAGCTCTCACACGTGGTTTAGGTGCCCTGCTAGCTGTGCATGCATACGCATGTGGGAGGGGGCTCTTTGCGCCTTAGACATGACGGGGGTGCTGATCCCAGGGAGCCATGTAGAAACGCAGATACTTCATGGACTGACAGCTATTTATGTAAGAAAATAGAGAGGCAGATTCCTCCTACTCCCTCCCAGGTTCTCCGCTGGTGGTATTTAACATTAATTATAGCAATAGCGGGGGAAAAAAGCCATGTTAGGCGGAAATATGATTTTTTAAGAGATACAGCACAGCTGAAATAAGATTTTTTTTCCTTAAGTATAGTTTTCACATTACACTCCACTTGGCAAAAGAAGTTACATTGCTAGAAATACCACAGGGAAATTAACGCAGCACAAG